CATACATACATACATTTATAAATTTTCAGTTGAAAATTGCATGCCTATTTCTGGGGTTGTTAATCACTGTGCAAAAAAGCAGCAAAGCCAAATAAATGTTAGCAGAAACTTTGAAATGAACCAGGGAAAATTGACACGCATGATCTGTACATAACTATACAAAACAGAATTAAAACACGAATGAATGTGTATTCATTTTTATACCGCAGGTGCCCAGAAGGCCAGGTAAATAAATAAAAAATTACCCTTCTTGTCCCCTCCAAGCCTTATTGGCCACCTATCTTACCTATTTCAAAACAGGGAGAAGATCCCAACCTGGGGGTGGGGGTGGGGAGACAGGGTGAGTGACGTCACTGCCCATGTCGTCACAGGGGCTGATACTGTAGCCAGGTAGGCAGTTGAAAAGTCAAGAGGTCAGCCTCGATTTCCCATCTGTTGAATTGCTTTTTGGGGGCAGGTTGGGCTCGCACAAAAGGTCAAGGGTCTCCCGTGGGTCACACCGGCTGCAAGCCCCCCCATCTGGAAGAAGCCCCCATACCACGGTGCAATCTACCAACGCGCGTCGGGCGGGAAGAAACTCTCAGCCGGGGACTCCAACTCCCATGGGGCGCGTTGGCCGGGGACCATGGGCTGAGCAGTGCAACCCACGCGGTCCCCTCGGCACAATGCAATGATCTATGACCACGCTCGGACTGGGAGAAACTCAGTCGGAGACTCTTAAGTCCCATGGGGCGCGCCTGTTGGGGACGATGGGATGCAAGAGAGAACTCTTGCGGGGGAGGGTTGCGGGGGAGGCGCCGGCCGGGGACGATGAGCTTAGCATGCAAGCTCCATTGCAGGCTGAGCCCCCACTGCAATCCATCACCCCACATTCCGGCGAGGAAAAACTCTTTTAAGTCGGGGACTCCAACTCCCATGGTGCGCGCCGGCCGGGGGACGTTGGGCTAGGCGGTGCAAAGCGCTCGCGGGCTACCGAACCCTCCACGGGCACGTTTTTGCAAACCACCCTCTAGGCTTGAAAAGGCTCTAGGCACTGCATAGCCGGGAACTCCAAGTCCCATGGGGCACGTCCACTGGAGAACCATGGGCTAAGCCCGGGAGCCAGACCAATCCCCCCTCCATGGCACAATTCAAAGAAACTCTCCCTCCGCCTCCCTCGGGGAGGGAGGACTCCCTCGTGGACTCCAACTCCTATGAGGCGCGGCGGCTGTGGACAATGGGAGGAGGAACACTTCCCAACGAGGAGGTTATACACACGTGAGCGAGGGGCGGGGCGGCGGCAGGAGCGCTCGCTCGTTCGGCGGCGGCGGCGGGGCGTGGCCGGGTAGGGTGTGGGGGCGTGGCCCGGATTGCTGTGGGAGGCGTGGCCGGGGTGGGCAAGAGCCGCCGCTCGGCCTCCGCTGGCTGGCACTCGGCTGAGCTCGTCGTCGGCTCTCGGGTCGGGCTAGCTCGGCCTCTCTCGGGTGAGGTCGTGAGGGGGTTCGGGGCGCGTGCCCGCGAGGGCTCGGGCGTACTCGGCTGGGCTCGGGCGTTCGGCGGAGTTAGAAAAGGATGTGAGCGGGAGGCGGCGGTGCAGAGGGCGCGGAGCATCCCGTCCGTGCGCCCGGCGGCGGGGCGGATCGGCGCTTCGTGCGGGGGGGCGGGTCAGGAGGAGCCGCCGCCATGGGGGACTTCTACGACCCCGAGCACCCCACCCCGGAGTAAGTGGGGCTGTGGTGGGGGGGGATGGGGGGAAAGGGAGGGGGGATCC